AAGTGATAGCTAGATGTTAACCTAGGCAGCTAGCTAGAGAAGTAATTAAAGTGAGCAGTAGGAAATGGTAAGGTATAAAGACAGGCATATTTTGAATAGAGAGTGTCCTATTCAACTAAGTTAGAGAAAACTTACAATAAAGCAGAACAGGGCTTTGAAGAACCCCACGGAAAACTTGCTGTAACACTGTGTTTTTACAGTGTTATAAATCCAGAAACAGGTCATAATACCAGTATAGGAGTTGGTCTCTCAAAAGTCATTTTTGCTGCTTTTCAAATCCTAAAACATAAGAGATACTTGTAGAAACTATGATTAACAAACTACTGATTTGCAGTTTTAGTGGTGGTTTTTGTTTTGTTTTTTGAGACAGGATCTCGGGTTGGCTTTGAGCTCACTGTGTAGCCTAGGCTGGCCTTGAACTCTCGGTGATCCTCCTACCTCAGCCTCCCGAGCTGGGATTAGAGGCATGCACCACCACGCCTGGCCAGATTTGCAGTTTTATCCTGAACTCTATAGTTGGAAAACAGCCTGTGGAGTCACTGAATTCATTCCCACTGTGGAACTTCATTTTTTATTGGACTTTTCTCATAACATAAACAGACATATAAGTAGCACAGTTCTCAAAAAATACTAAATGTATTTGTATAAAAAGACATCAGACATTTTGGAAAATTATATAGTGTTGATGAGCATTATTGGCTTTTGGAGACGATAGTTTTAAGTCTCAATTTAAACATCTGTCTTGGGGTAGGGAAAGCTTTGAGAATATATTTATCATTTTCGTAACAGATCTCTCATGCACAGTCCCGAGTTCCTAGTTAATGGAAGAGGAAATGACAGAGCACCTTACAAGAAGAAATTCTCCAGAACTCCCCGTTTCTCTTTCTGCATTCTTTGTATTCTTTCAGTCTCCAGTACACACACACACACACATTTTCTCTCTGAATAAAAGTACAAATTAAACCATCAGAGACATGGATAAATCAAAGAGGAAGAGGTAAAAGATGCCAGTTGAACTTTCAGTTTTTAAAACTAGGCAGGGCTCTGGAAACTGGTGATAATGAAGAAAAGCTTTTCAAATTGATTAGATAGTCGGAGGTTCCATGGTATAATGGTCAGCACTCTGGACTTTGAATCCAATTTGATTAAATAATGATTCCAGTCTTCTATATTTTCTCATTAGAGAAAGGTGGTAATACCATCATTAGCAGAAAAAGGTCAAAAGAGGACAATATGCTATAGCATGATTTTTTTATTGACCGAGTACCCTTTTACTTACTGAAAAAACTGAGAGTTTTCAAAATTAAAATTTATGTAAAATAGATAAGAAAATAAGATACCAGAGATGAGCTGTTTTCTAGAGTTGAATAATGCATTTGATTGTTAATTCCTGGAAATTAAAGCCAAAAGAAAATGCTAAAATGTAAAACAGTATAATCTCGGCATATACTTCAAAAATAGTGGTACAAATTTTTAGGCACAAAGGTGGAGGACTTTATTGTATAGTGTCCTAATGTGGATTGGATAATTTCACTGTTTTTTGTTTTTTTGTTTGTTTTTTTTTTTTACATAGGGTCTTGCTATATAGTTCAGGCTAGCTTGAACTCACTGTGTAGCACAGGCTGGCCTCAAACTCTCAGCAGTCCTCCTGCCTCAGCCTCCTGAGTGCTGGGATTACAGGCATGTGCCACAATGGCTGGCACTGGATGGCTTTGCTATTTACCACCCTAACTAGGAAACTTTTGAAAGTGAAGCTGATGCTATTACTAATTTTGGAGGACAATAGAGTTACTTGGTTATCTCAGGCATGGGAATTTGGAGTAACAGGTGAATGGTGACTCTATAAAAGATGCCTAAGAGCTGCCTGTGGATTATTTCTGTATGGATATAGGTTCTGGAGTTTTGTTTGCATCTGAAGGGATGAATATGTAAAGTCCAATATTAATAAACATAGTTCTATGAAGTAAAGTATTCTGCTTCCTCAGTATTTAGCTTCATTCAGGAACAGAACTGAAAGACTCTTGAAGGTTTTGTCTTCAACATACACAATTCTTTGTTTCTCAAAAAATTGACCATGATTTATTTAAGAAAGAACTAAATCATTGTTTATAAGTGATCATATGTTGTTTTTTCAATAGTTTTTTTCTTTTTTAACCATACATGCTTACAGTACGCAACAACTGCATTCATAGTGAGGACTTAGTACCTATACATAATGCATCTTAATTCTTTTTAAGTCCCCTTCCTCTACCTGCCATCCAGCTACCTTTTTCCCCCTACCATCCCTACCTCCTCCCTCTCTTTTTTTGTTATCTATATTTTATTTTGATCTTTATTTATATTTTGAGTTTCTCATATAGAAACCATGCAGTATTTAAGCTTGTGTCTGATTTATTTCACTTGACATTACAGTCTCAATGTGCATCCCAAGTTTATTCTTCTTTATGGCAGAGTAATACTCCACTGTGTATAAATACCACATTTTCTTTATCCATTCATCCATTGATGGACATATAAGCTGTTTCCAACATTTAGCTATTGAATTGTGCTGCTATAAACATGTGTATGCATGTGTCACTGTAATGTAATGACTTTAACTCTTTTGGGAAGATACCTAGAAGGGGAATAGCTGGGTCAAATGGAATTTCTAGTTTTAGTTTTCTGAGGTATTTCCGTACTGAGTTCCATAGTGGTTGTACTAGTTTACACTCCTACCAACAGTGAAGAAACCCCCTCCCTCCCAGACATGCACACACAGCCTTGCAGGCATTTGTTGTTATCTAATTTCTTGATGATAGATATTCTTCCTGGTGTAAGGTAGAATATCAGTATTGTTTTAATTTGCATCTCTCTAATGGCCAGAAATGTTGAATTTTTTTATTTTTTATTTATTTATTTTTTTTTAGCCATCTGTATTTCTTCTTCTGAGAAGTATCTGTTCATGTTAGTTGCTCATTTTTCACTGGGGGTAATTTTTTTTGAGTTATTTATATATTCTAGGTATTAGTGCTCTGTCCAAGAAATAGCTGGCAAAATGTTTTCCCATTCAGTAGGTTGTCTCTTCGCTCTGTTGGTTGTTTCCTTTGCTGTGCAGAGGTTTTTACTTTGCTATAATCCCATTTGTTGATTCTTGGTGTTATTTCTTGTGCAGTTTTGGTTAAGCTCAGGAAGTCATTGCCTAGGCCTGTGTCTTTTAAGAGTTTTACCTGTTTTATCTTCAATTAGATTGTTTCTATTTTAATATTTATATCTTTGATTCATTTTGATTTTAGTTGAGTGCATGGTGATAGACATGTGTCAAAAATAGTATCTTTTTGTTCTTCTTTTTTCTTTTCCTCCTCTTCTCTCCGTGTCGCTCTCCTCTTCCTCTTTCTCCTCCTTTTCCTCCTCCTCCTTTTCTTTTTTTTTTTTTTTTAGTAAAACCATGCTATTTTTATCACTGTAGCTTTATAGTATAACTTGAAGTCCAACTCTGCGTTGCTACATAGTAAGTTGAAAGCCAGCTTGAATTAGAGTAAGACTCTGTGTCAAAAAAAATCCTGGAACAGCAGGGTTATACAATGCCCCTACTCAAGGAATTATTCCATTACAATACATGCTTTCATTGATTATAAGTCATTTTTTGAAAAAGTTTTTAAGTAAATCAAGAATTCCCTAGGGCTGGAGATGCTGCACAGTGGTAGAACGTTTGTCCAGCATGTGCCAGGCCCTGGGCACAATCCCTAGAGCATTGCCTCCAAAAACGACAGAGTCCCAAGCCCTGCACTCTGTTGTGATAGATGGGAATTACCACATTTACTGTTCTTTGTAGTCCTTCCTAGTAACCTTTGTAACCATTTCCCTGGACAGAAATAGTTTTTATACTTGCAAAATAACAATGCATTGTATTTAGCACATTAAATAGAAATTCCTCACTAAAATAAAACACACTACATTGAGTGGGATATATGGGATATTATATATGTCCCAGATTCAAACAGCACTCTTGGTATGCCTGTCTTTTAAGAATAAATATGGCTGCCCCTAAAATTTTTTTTTTCAATTTTAACTCCTGTTTATTACTCTGTTATCACCACACTCCACCTGCTGGTCCAGTCTCCTAAAAACTAGTATAAGGTATCTTTAAATTACAAATCCAGGTGGTTGAAGTAATAGTTAGTGTATGTTACACATACAACCTTATTTTCTTTCCTCTGGAGACAAAGAGGTGAATGTCAAGTTGAATGGTATGATTGTTAGTTCCCAAGCAATGCTATATTTCCTGTGAGTGGGCAGGGATTTGGCCATCTTCAGCCAACCTGGAAGCAATATAGAATAGCCAAAGTGCGTGCAGTAGCAGATATAGATGGGCCTGTGGCATTGTCAGCCATTCTGCAGAAAGCCAAGCCAGTACTAAACACTTCTGTCTTCTCCAGCAGTTATAGATTAGAGGAGCCGTTTTTCTTCTTCAGCCTTATGGAAAATGGGAGAGTAGTTTAGAAGGTTGTAGATGGCTTCTGTGAACATTGAACAGAATGAGTATAGCATCAAGACTGACACTTGTTTCTGCATTTGTCCTTCTTCTACCATAAAGTTCTTTGTCTCTCTGAATAGTGGAGCTGCACAACACTTTCAAAGGGACGTCTTAGAATATTCATAACAACCTTAGAAGCCTGTACCCTTTCCCACCCTTTGCTCATGGCCCTTTCCCTCGCATGGTCTCATACACTGATCTCTATGACAGTGGAGCTTTTAAAATTAATTTCAGACTCTGAGCATGTCTTTATTTTCAAGTTCTAATGATGAATTTGGATATTGAGAAATCTAGGACTGCTTTAGGAAACACACAGTCTCTTTGGGGGGTCCTTCTGTTCCAGTGTTACACAAATTTAAGTTGAAAAATCAGTGGAATTGTTATGGACATCCCTGTGACAGGCACAAGCAGGAACCTGATGTGAGCTAATACTAAGGTTAAAAGCTGTGAGTATTTACACATTTCTTTTTCTTCATCCTTTCTCTAGGCATACTCTGTGTTTGATGAAGACATTGGGTACTGTCAAGGACAGTCTTTTCTTGCTGCTGTATTGCTGTTACATGTAAGTAATTTTCCATTGATAAACAGCACAGTGCTACCAAGTTTATTTTATTTTCTACTTTTTTTTATTTCCTTCTTGTTTCCCATTTACCTCATGAAGATTACACATGGCATACCTTTTTAAAAATATACTTTGGATGATAAAGAGATCTAATGCTAAGAACAGGACAGTTTTTTAAAGAGAATTAATTTTGCTTGCTAGAAGCAAATAAATTGCTTATTTGAAGTTTTTTAAAAACTGGAACTCTCTAGAACAAAGAAGAGTAACTGCCCAAATACCTTGGACTCCTTTGAACTGCTATACTATGGTAAGGAAATCTTTCATCTTTTCTGTGATTTATTTTTATATATCATCTTCCTCACAGTCATTAACAGAACATTTATTGAGCATCAATTGCAAGGTACTGGGCTAGGAAGTAGGATTACAAGATAGATCGTTTATAATCTGTCTTCTCAAACATCTTACACTCCAGGGTGGGGTACAGATAATTCAGGTATAAATTTATTTTATTTTCTTTGTTGTTATTGATTCTTCTGATGACAAAAATAATACATGCTCACTAGCGAACTTACAGTGTGCTAAGTCAAGGTGAAACGTGGGGCAAGAAAATAGAGATCAGTGTTCCCCAACCCAGCTCTTCCAAACTTTTCAGAAAAAAAATATCTTTCTAGAAGAGTTGGCTGAATTGGCAAGACATAGATAATTGAGGTTGAGAAGGCAAAAGGAGAAACAGAGAGAGTAGAAAATATGAGACAAGAGGAGCAAGAGCAAATGTATGGAAACAAAAGGGCAGGCAGCATATACAAGGGGAACAATGTGGAGTTACAGTTTACTAAAGGAATTAGATGTAGGAAATGATATGAGATGGAAATAGTGAAATAGGCAGGGACTAAATTATGAAGACCGTGTAATCATGTCAAAAATGTGGGCTTTCTGTGAAACTAATGAGTCATTGATTGGTTTGAAGCAAGGGGACGATAGGCCAAAGGCAAAACAATCAACCCCAAAGTGACATGAAGTGAATAATCACAAAGGAAGCACTGTGTTTCACTATTATTTGAATCAGGTTATCTGAGTTAGGATGGTAGAGTCAGACATTCATTTCAGAAAAATTCTTGTTATATGCATTTAGAAGTGGAATGGAAGAGAACAAACAGCAGTACAGAGACAAGTTAGAAAATGTCAATCTAAATGAGAAATATTGAGACCCAGAGAAAATAAGCAGAATTAAGAAACATTCAGGAGGCAAAACTATTACATTTTTGTAGATGGATTGGCAAGGGGAGGGTCAAAGGTGACATGTCTAGTTTTCGGGCTTTGGTGACTAGATGACTGTGATATTTTGAGCTGAGACAGAAAATACATCTGTTGAGTTTGAGTGGAGGAACAAGATCAGGAGTTGGTGATGAATTTTGCTTTGAATTCTTTTAGTTAGGAAAATGTTGACATCTGAGAAGAACATCCAGAAACGATAGTGAAGACTGATGCAGGGGGAGAAATCAAAGCTGAGATCACAAGAGTAGCAGAATAAATAGACTAAGAACAGTGGTGTAAAGCCCCAGAACACCAAAAATTATATGGCTGATAAGGAAATATAATCCTTGAGGAAATTCAGATTTTTACTACGGAGAAAGCACTGCATAGTGTCAAATGCAACAGAGAAGCCTTAGTGAGTTTAAAACTGAAGCATTTCCTTTGAGTTTGGCATTCTGAAAATGAAAAACATTTATAGTAGATTGATTTCCTAACTCTGATAACCTGATTCAAATAATAGTGAAACACAGTGTTTCCTTTGTGATTCTTCACTTCATGTCACTTTGGGGTTGATTGTTTTGCCTTTGGCCTGATCATCTATTAGTGATTGTCTCTGTCTTCTCTCTGATACACTTTACTTGATGTTTCCACATCCCATTTTCTTGGGACTCCCTGTGATGATTAAACTCTTTACAAGTACAAATTGTCAGGGCCTTTTTAATTCCCCTAAACCCACCTAACATCTGAATGTAAGGTCCTGATCTCAGAAGAACTGGACAATGTAAGCAGCATCATGAATATGATCATCAAGTGCAGAGCAATCTGTCTTCTAAAAGAAACATTTGTAATCACTTTAATGAGAACCTGGTGGTGTAGCTTTGCATTGAACAAAATAATCTTTGAATATGCCATATTTTCCCATATTTGACCTACACTTTTTTTTTTCTGAGATAGGATCTCACTGTGTAGTCCAGGCTGGTCTTGAACTCACTCTAGCCCAAGCTGGCCTCAAACCTGTGATCCTCCTGCCTCAGCCTCCTGAATGCTGGGGTTACAGGCATCACCATGCCTGGCTTGACCTATACTCCTATTTAACACATTATAATAAATTGATTAAAGTTAAATGAGAAGAATCTGTTCTGGGATTTCTGAGAGGCTTAATTTTGAGTTTGTTATTATACTTGTAAGTGCATCTGACACGTAGACCTTGTAAAAAAAGAGTGAGTCAAACAACTAAAAAACTCAAATAACCTAGAATTTTTTTTCTGTATTATCAATTCTACCATAACAAGGGCCACATGACAACTTAGCCTTTGTCAGCTTATCCAGTAAAATAACTCCCAAAATACGTCACAAGACAGACAAAAATTTAGTCTGTCCTATTACTTTCTACATTAATTAAATTATTCAATTATTGCCATGGCATATAAAAATAATTTGAAATATAGAAATGCTTTTAGAATCCTTATGAAAAGATTAACATCTGATATTCAGCCTAGTGTTAATAGAAAGCATAGTCTAATTTTTAATTGGCCTTATGTGTGACAGTTCTGTTAATCAGCATATTCTATTAACTGCCCAACCCATTCATCAGGCAATTCGAACAACAGAACTTAACGGAAAGGCTTTTTCTCCTTATTTTTGTTTCCATTGTTTAAACAGCAAGAAGAATGCAGACTACCTTAAACAATTAATCAAATACACTATCTCTGGTTCCAAGGAGACACATTATTAGGGTCTTGCTGACGAATTTTTTGTCTGTTACATAAGCTATTGCTTTTTTTCCTGCCAGACATCCTTTAGAGAACCTGTATTCATCACTGTCAGAACTTGCTTCTCTTTGGGATGCTGTCCTTTCCTCACCCTGGTCATTTATATTTCACATCCACTGCCAAAGAGGAGAGAAAGATCAAAACTGAAAGTATATTCCATAGTTGTACAGATGAATTAGCTTCTCCTTGAGCTTGGAAAGCCTCAGATGCTTGACACTGGAGCTTTGTAATGTAGTTTAAGCTCTCAAAGAATTAAATGTTCACCGCAGTAGATGATGTTGTATCTATTTATGAAATTTTGAGAAATTTATCATTTATAGTTGGAGAATAATATAGCACAGATTGCTTACAACTGTTAGAATTTCTAACTTCCTTTGATATTAAATATGTAACAATAATCTTTAATGTCATCATTTTAACATTTGGTTTTGCTTAACTTGAGGAATAGTAAATCATTATAAATGTCATTTATTATAAAAAGGATACAAAATCTTAATTTAGTGTATTGTTCTACTGTGTTTATTGTCAAGTAGTTTTAATTTTTTTAAGGTGAACAAATACTATGAAGATATTCATACCTAGCAATTCCATGCAAGTACCTTGCATGTCTACTTCAATACCTTAGTGAAGTACCTTGCATGTCTACAGCAAAATACATGGACTAGAATTGTTCTAGGATCAGTGTTTATAATAGTCAAAACATTGAAACAACTCCAAAGCCCACTATTAGAATTCCAGTATTATATCTATAATGAAATATTAAAATGAATATATTGCATTGTATTTGTATGACAGAACACTATATGGTAATAAAATAAATGTTCTATACTTAGTCGGTTGCTGTGAATGAAACGTACATCATAAAAGTTATTCAGAACTTTTATATTTTCTTGATTCAGCTTTGGTAATTTATACATTTCTAGGAATCTGTCCATTTCTTCTGTGTTTTCCATCCTATGTGAGAAAAAATTTTTGAAGTAGGTATTGATGATCTTCTGAATTTCCACAGGACCTGCAGTGATTTCACCCTTTTTATTCCTCATTGCATGAATCTGAGTTTTTTTCTTTCGTTTTTTTGATAAGTGGCTAGGGGTTCATAATTAGTTAAAAAGAAAAGTATAAGATTACATTTGGTATGAGTTCATTTTGTATAAGAGTCAATAGCAGTTGAAACTAAATTGTTTTTAGGGTATTGCTTAGATGGGAAAATTATAAAGTACCCTAATGAAGTTATTTCTGTTAAAGTCAGGATAGTGATTTTTCTACGGAGAAACTGAGAGATCACAACTAAAAAGGTGCACAGGGACCTTCAGGGGTATTGGCATATATTCTCTTTCTTAGCCTGGGAGTTGGTTGCATGTGTCCTTTATAATGACTTGCTTTTATTTTATAAGGAATACTTCAGTAATGTGTACATTTAACTTTTGTTTATTTAAAAATAATTTTTAAAAATATAAATCCTTTAATACAACCCCTAAGAAGATAGGTTAGGATAATTTTATTTTAGTTTAGTTTAGTTTGAGACAAGGTCTCACTGTGGAGTTTAGACTGGTCTTGAACTCACTGTGTAGCCCAGGCTGGCCTTGAACTAGCAGCAATTCTCCTGTCTCATCTCCTCTGGTGCTGGGATTACAGCCATGCTGCACCACACCTGGCTAGGATAATATTTTTTTAAATGGATGTAAGCAATGAGAACTATACCTACTTACTAGTTTTTCTGAAATAAATATTCCTCAGATTCCTAAGTGCCAAGATGGAGAATTCCAAATATCTTTTTGTTTGTTTGTTTGTTTTTTCTCTGGTACGGGAAACCGAACTCACGACCTTGTGCTTGCCAGGCAGGCACTTTTGCCGCTGAGCTAAATCCCCAGCCCCAAATTCCAAATATCTTGATGTATCTATACAAGGAAAAGTATTTATGGCATTATTAGTCAGGCTTCTTCCCGCTACATATGACAGAACCCTAACTGAAAG